GTATTATCTCCATTTTACAGATGAGGAAACTGAGGCACAGAGAGGAGCTTCATCACTGCTCCTAATCTCTGCCTGCTGGCTTGCCTGGCTTCTTTCAAGTTTCCACTAAAATCTTATCCTAAAAGGAAGTCTTTCTTAATCCCTTTTAATTCTAGTGCCTTCCCTCTTTTAATTATTTTCTATTTATCTTGTATATAGCTCGATTGTACATATCCATTTGTTTGTCTTCCATTAGATTGTGAGCTCCTGGAGGGCAGTGATTGTCTTTTGTCTCTTTTTGTATCCCTGGGACTTAGCACAATACTTGGGCCATAGTAGGTGCTTAATAAATGTTTACTGTTTATTGTCTGACTTACAGGGTCACGGAGCTAGGGCTTGTCTGATGTAGGATTCCAACTCAGGTCTTCCTAACTCCAAATCCTGTGCTCCATGCATTGTGTCTCCCAGCTGCCTCTTATTAATTAATTAATCAATATAGAGAGTCAATCAGGATTAATATCTATGCACACATATCAGAAACTCATGTTTGGACCCCTGATCATGAATCTGTAGTTTTAGCAGAGGGGCAGCTAGGTGGCATAGTAAATACAGTGCCAGGCCTGGAGTCAGGAAGACTCATCTTTCTGAGTTCAAATATGGTCTCAGACATTTATTACCTGTGTGACTCTAAGTTTGCCTCAGTTTCCTCATCTGAGCTGAAGAAGGAAATGGCAAACCACTCCAGTGTCTTTGCCAAGAAAACCCCAAATAGGGGCACAAAGAGTTGAACACAACTGAAAAACTACTTAACAACAAAAATAATTGAAATATGCCAGATAAAAACATTTTTGTATAAATAAATCATACAAACTTGGCCTGGAAATTCTCATGATTCTTTTTGCATATAGCTTTTTTTTGTTTGTTATTTTTTTTTTTCCTTTTGGCTAGGCAGTGGGGTTAAGTGACTTGCTCAGGGTCACACAGCTAGTAAATGTTACGTGTCTGAGGCTGGATTTGAACTCAGGTCCTCCTGACTCCAAGGCCGGTGCTCTATCCACTGTACCACTTAGCTGCCCCATGTGTATGGTTTGAATAAATGGTTTCTAGGTTCCCTTCAGATTCTCAAATTCTATGATTTGTCTCATTTTCTTAAAAATGAAATACATAATTATTAATGATGATAGTAGTTATGACTTATGTTTATATATTGTTGTATTAACCCGGGAAGATAATTCTTTTTAAAATGTATTTTATTCTGAACTTAAGAAATAAAACAAGAATTTCCATAGCATATTAGTATAGAAAAAAAAGCTGATTGCACATGAAATTGCAAATCTGTTATGTACAGCTTGCTATTCCTTTAAAATATATGATAAAGTTATCCTGTAAACTTTTTTCCTTTTTTCTCTTCCCTTCCCCACCCCCACCCTAGAGATGGCTACCATTAGACACAAATATGTATATTATGTAAAATCATTCTATTCATACTTCTATTTATCAGTTCTTTCTCTGGATGCAGATAGCATCTTCCTTCACAGGTCCTTTGTAGTTCATTTGTATAATTATAAGAGTCAAAATGACTTAGTCACTCAAAGTTGTTCTTAAAACAATATTGCTGTTACTGCATGCAACATTCTCTCGGTTCTATTCATTTCACTCTTCATTATTTCATTTCTAGTCTATCCGTGTTTCCCTAAAATCACTGAGGTCATCATTTCTTATAGCATAGTAATATTCCATCATTCATAAGACCTACTGTGTCCCAGGAATTGTATAAGTTCTGGGAATACAAAAAGAACAACAAAGTTCTTTCCTTCAAAGAGCCGATATTACACATCAATGAATCGACAAGCATTTATTATGGATAACTATGTACCAGACACTATACTAGGCAGTGGGGATGTAACAACAAAAATGAATCTGTCTTGGCCTTCAAGGATTAGTCTGCTCATTTTCCAGGTAGTATAGTTAAGAAGAGGAGAAGAGATACAGGGACATAGCTGTCAGGGATGGTGGATCTAAGGACAGCTAGGTCTTTGGTGGAGAGGACTTGGGTGTGCTTGTGGTTAACGGGGAAGGAACCAGTAATTGTTCTTTGTCCTGTGTTCTCAAAGAGGACCATGACATCGAGGAGGTGGTGCCATGACATGAAAGGGAGTTGGATTTATGTGAGGGAGGGTGGCAAAGCCACCAGTCTCACTTTCTGTCCGGGGCCATCTGGGTCCAGTAGTGAGATGTGTATCAGGAAGGAACCAAAAGTTGAGGAAAGATTTAAGATGAGAGATGGAGACCTAGGGAGATGCAGAAAGAGATTCAAATGGGAGAGGCAGCCTCTAGATGAATAGGTATCAACAAGATAGATAAATAAAGCACTTAGTAAGCACCTGCTGGGTACCAGGCACTGTGCTGAGCCTGAGGATACAACGACAAATCAATCAGATACCCTGCCCTCCTGGAGTTTGCATTCTAAGGGGGGAAAACCTTATACAAAGGGGAGGAGTACCAGGAGGAGTCTGCAGGGCAGCAGTCCCTTGCTAAGATAAGACCAAAAGGTAACTCATCAGATACAGAGAATCCAGAGGCAGAGTCCAAGTTTCTGGTGGGGTGAAAAGGGTTGGAGAGTAATGACATGCCAAATACAGAGGGAGGGTTAGCCCTTGGGGAGGACTGAGAAAGAGTTCCCTTTGAGTTGAGTCTGGAAGGAAACTCAGGCTTCTCAGAGGTGAAGGGGAGGGAGAAGGGCTTTTCAGTCATGGGGGTCAGCCAACGCAAAGTCCCAGAGCCAGGAAATGGGAAGTGATGAAGAGCAGAGAGGCCAGTCTTGTGGGATCCTAGACTATAGGGAGGGGGACACTTTCTTTTAAGACTGGAAGGACTTTAAATGCAAGAGCAGTTCATATCTGACCCTTGAGTTAATAAAGAGTTGCTGAGTAAGGAAGTGATGGAGTCAGACCTTTGGTTTAGGAAATTCCCTTTGGTAGCTGGTTGAGGGACAGATTGGAGTGGAAAGACACTGGGGTGGAGAGACCGATCAAGGAACCATTGCAACAGTCTAGTGAGAGGTGGTGAGGGTCTGAACTAGTGTGGTAACTGTGTAAACAGGGAGAAACAGACACATATGAAAAATGTCGTAGAGACAGAAATGATAGAATTGGAATACACAGAGTATACAAGAGCGAGGAGTCAAGGATGACACACAGGTCAGAAGGTTCAGTAACAGAAGAATGGTGCTGCCCTTCTCAGTGGCAGGGAGATTCAGGAGAAAGGGGGAATGGATTTTTTTTGGACATAGAGCATTTATTAGGCACTTATTGCATGCCAGACACTGTGTCCATGTTGAATTTGAGATGCTTGTGGGACACTCAATTTTTAAAATATGATAAGCAGTTCGTGATGAAGCTTAGGAGAGAGACAAGGGCATGAGATCTATTGATCTATCATCTGCATATATAGATATATTTATATATCTATATGCATGTATATACACATGCATACTGTACACACATATGTGTGTATGTGTATGTATGTATAGTTATACAATATGTGTATATATACATAATATATGTATGTATATATTTATAAAATATATGTATATATAATCTGAGAGTCATCTTCATAGAGATCATAATTGAATCCATGGGAACTGATGAATTCCCTTAGCAAGAATATAAAGAGAAATAAAAAGAGGGCCCAGAACAGTCTCTCTCTCTCTCTCTCTCTCTCTCTCTCTCTCTCTCTCTCTCTCTCTCTCTCTCTCTCTCTCTCCTAGGCAATCAAGGTTGAGTGACTTGCCCAGAGTCACACAGCTAGTAAGTGTCAAGTATCTAAGGGCAGATTTGAACTCAAGTCCTTCTAGGGCGAGTGCTGTTTCCCCTTACTTACCTAGCTTCCCCAGAACAGAATCTTGAGGGACATCCACGTTTGGCAGGTGTGGCATAAATGAGGATCTAGCAAAGCAGACTGAGCAGGGTGTGGGAGAGCTGAGAGAGAAAGCAGTGTCATGAAAATTCCAAGATCAGAAAGTGCTCCAGAGGAGAAGGTAGCCAAGAGACCACTATAAAGGGGTGAGGAGAGATGAGGATTGAGAAGAGGCCGTTAGATTTGGCAATGAAGAGATCACTGGTCATTTTGAAGAGAGCAATTACAGTTAAATAATGAAAAGAGAAAACAGACTGGGAAAGAGATAAAAAAAGAGTAAGAGGAAAGGACATGGAGGCAGAATGTTTATGTTCTCCTGTGCCCCTCCCCCCACCCTCCAGGTAGTTTAGTTAAGAAGGAGAGGAGGGATGTAGGACCATAGCTATCAGAGATGATAGAAGGCTAGGTCTCTGTGTGTTTGTAGTTAACAGGGAAGGAACTAGTAGTTGAGGAAAGACTGAAAATGAGAAAGAGAGACAAGAGAGAGAGAAAATGAGAGGAGGAAGAAGAAGAAGAGCAAGAAGAAGAGGAGGAGGAAGAAGAGGAGGAGGAAGAGGAAAGGAGACAGAGAGATAGAAAGGAGAGAGACAGAGGAAGAGAGGAGAGAGATAGAGGGGAAAGACAGACAGAGGAAGAGAGAGACAGAAATAATATTAAATAGGCTAAACATTCCTAATTTGTTCAGTTGATTCCCATATGACATGAACTCAGGGCCCTTCACTATCCTCCTTGCTTTCCTCTGGACAGTCCCCAGCTTATCAATATCCTTTCTAAGCTCTGGTGCCCAGAACTGTACACACTGCTCCAGATGTTTTCTGACCAGGGCAGAGGACAGAAGGCTCATCACCTCCTTGTTCCAGGAAACTGGCCCTTTCTATTATTATTCCCATGTTGTCGATGATGAGGAATCTGAAGGCCAGAGAGTTGAAGCCGCTGGCTCAGGATCACACAGTTAGGAAGCCTCAGAGGTGGGATTCAAACCCGTGTCTTCTTGATTTATAGTCCAGTCCTATTTCTACTTTCCCCACGGGGCCGTAGAGTAAATCCCCACAGCAAACAAAGCCACAAGAGTCGAAAGAGATCTCCACCCCCTGCCTCCTCACCTTACAGTTAACACCCTCCAAGAACTACCTTGGAAGAGGTGTCAGGTCAAGTCCCGTGCACCAGCTGGGGCATCGTATTTCTCTGCTATATCATGATCTGGCACTAGGTGTTGCTATGCAGCTGTTGCTAGGAGCTCTCTTTCTGTGCCTCTTCCCTGTGACAGGCAGCAAGTGTTCACCGTGATCTGGGCGTCGTTCCTCAAATTCTTATTGTTACAGTTGCAGGACATCGTCCTACGAGGATGTGGATGGCACATTAGCCTCTAGTCCGCTGTGTTTCCTCGGGCGCTGCATTTGTCTTGAATCCAAGCCTTCTGGAAAACCAGAGAGAACACTCTAGGGGAAAGGGGGTCCCCAGTGAAAGCGGCCCAATTGTCCTAATTCAAATATTTACTTGAACTCTGCTTTTCGATTATTTGTAATACAAGGGGAATGACACCGTCTATGGGCTGTTTCCAGGAACTGAGTTTCTGCTACAAGGTCAGAGATAAAAATTGTTTATAGAAACACAAAATAGGAAGGCAAATTTAGCCTCGTACTATTTGGGGTTTTGCCCTCCCACACATGCAAGCAGGAGCAAGGACAAGGCTCCCGGACCGCTATTTCCCCATGGCAACAGGGGTCGGCCACGCTTTAACCCAGTTGAGTGATATGAGTCCTTGTATTTTCCGAATTCTACATACTGTTTTGAAGGGTAGGGATAGTGGGGGAGAAACAAGCAGCATTTCCGGCAGCTGGTGTTTGGGCAGCAAGGCAAATCTTTGGTTGAACTCTGTTTTGGGGAGGTCAAGTTGAAAGGTTGTTTCAAATAAATATCAGGTAAGATAACAGATGTAAAATGCTTAATGAAACTTTAAAGCATTGTATAAGTAGATATTGTTATTAGTATTGTCATGGTCGTTAGAGCCCTTCAGCTATTTTATTCTCTAAATTTAGACGCATTTTGTATATCACCTAGTTAGAAAGTGCAAGATCGTGTGCCTATTTGCTGGGATATTCCTGTCCTGGAAGTACACTATGTATTTAAGTTTCAGTGCTGGGTGTGATGGATTTCAGTTCCTTGAGACATTCAATTAGTCAGCCCCAACATTCACTCACTAGGTAACCTCGCGCAAATCATTTAACCTACTGGAGGTTAACCTATCAGAATGTCCGTCTGTAAAATGGAAAGGCAACATGGGTTAGCCTCGGAGTCAGGGACATATACTGACCTATACTGGTTGTATTACCCAAGACAAGTCTCTTAACCTAGAGGCAAGGTGGTGCTGTGGATAGAATGCCGGACCTGAACTCAGGAAGAACTGGCACGTTGAATTTAAGATGTCTGCAGGATATCTAGTTTGAAATGTCTAATAGGAAGTTGGAGATGCTAGAATGGAAGTCATTAGAGAGATTGGGGCTGGATAAATAGATATGAGAATTATCTGCATAGAGATGATAATTGGGACAGCTAAATGGTTCAGTGTGGATACAGTACTGGGACTAAAGTCAAGAAGATCCAAGTTCAAATCCAGCCTCAAACAATTTGCTAGTTATGGGACCCTGGGCAAGTCACTTAACCTCTGTTTGCCTCAGTTACCTCATCTGTCAAATGGAGATAATAATAGCACCTACCTCCCAGAGTTGTTGTGGGGATTGAATGAGATAATAATTTCAAAGGGCTTAGCACATAGTGAGCACTATATAAGTGTTAGCTATTATTATTGTCAGCTATTATTTAATTGAAGCCATGTGAGTGGATGTGATTACCAAGTGAAATAATATAGAGGCAGAAGAAAAAAGGACCAAGGCCTTGGGTCTTGTGAAAGGAGCCATTTATTGAGACAAAGGCAAGAGTTTGTTGGCAACAGGGGAGAAGATGGTCTCCACCAATAAGATCCCCCATCCTAGCTGTTTTTACCCTCGGATGTGCCAACAATTGTTTGGACAGCACTAAACTGAGGTGGAATGTGAAATGCCAAATGAGCAGTTCTGAAAATTCCTTTATATTCTGACCTGATTAAGTATCATTTCCCCCAGAAGATTATAATAGTAGTTACAAGTTACAGACCTGTTCTTTAGTTGTTCTGTTAATGTGTACTTGCTCTGAATTTAGCATTCTGTTTGTGTATAGGAATAAATTATCTGTTCTATACCTGACTCATATTTGTATGTGGAGTACATTTTTAAATCCTCCTTATTTCTATACAGCCCCAAGATGTGAGCTGTGATCTAAGTTATAAGTAACATTGCCCCTAGGGTGCCATACCTGAGGACTTAGAGAGACCCCCCCGAAGTATGTGAGAAAAGGGAGCTTAACCCTTTCTTGTTAGAGGACAGATTCTTCAGGACTAAACTCAGTTCTAGCTACATGCCTGGATATAAACTAGGCACAGGTCCAATACACCAGCCCCTGTGTGTCCAAAAGTGGTTTCTCAAAGTAAGACATGTAGACCAGCAGGGGCAGCTAGGTCACATAGTGGATAGAACACTGGCCCTGGAGTGAGGAGGAACTGAATTCAAATCCGACCCCAGACACTTGACACTTCCTAGCTGTGTGCAAGTCACTTAACACTGATTGCCTCACCAAAAAGCAAAAAAAAAAAAAAAAAGAAATGTAGACCAGAGAGTTCCATCATTATCATCATCATGATCATCACCATCATCATCTTCTTCATCATCATCACTACCACCACCACCGCCATAAGTGACATTTCATTTATTCATTGGGTAAGTGTTTATTAAATGCCTGATATATACCAGGCACTGAATTAGGTACTTGAAAATTTGTAAAGCATTTTACATACATTATTTACTTTGAGTCTCAAAATTACCTTGTGTGGTAGGTATTAAGGTATTATTATTCCCATTTTATAGATGACAAAATTGAGGGTCAGAAATCGTGGGTAGGCTGCCCATGGATGCATAACAATAAACGTCAGAGGTGAGATTTTAACTCAGGTTTTCTTGACTCCAACTCCAGCCTGAAGATACTAACATCAATGTGTTTGAACAAATAATAAGGATGACATGCTCTCTCAATGCTAGTAGAAAATGCAAAAATTGCTAAACATAAATCCATACTTATGGAAACATTTGCCACGATTGTGCCCATGGGTCAGAAGTTCCTCATCCAAGCTACTGTATGCAATTATATTGCCCTTTATTATCAGGTAAAATCAGGAAATTCCAAGGACCAACAGTATGTATTTGCCTTTTGTTTGTTCATGCCAGGAAATGGGCTACTGTAGTCAGATAGCTGCATTCAATTTACACACACGCACACACACACACACACACACACTTTTTTGTCTAGCAAAAGCTTCCTCAAAAAAAGAGAGAGCAGAACATCCTTCTGCAATTCCAGTCGAGTAAAACTAAATTCCCAAAGCCTGGAAGGATGTGAAGGTCCAACCGTATTTTGCATACTTTAGTTCATTAAACAAATTATTGATATCTTTTATTTTTACATCACCTACTCAGAGAGTTATAACTCATGGAAAAGAATAAAGGAGAAAAAAACCAAACAGAGTTCAGTAAAGGGAACCAACTCATAGAGCAGTCCCTGGCATTAGGTATTAGGGATTGGCCTTCTATGCTGTTCATTCATCATGTCATTAACTTGTTAGACTTCTTGGTGTCTTGACCTACTAGGACAACTGCAATTATTTTTCCTCTTGCATGTAATTCTTCAGTTAAGGAGTTTTGAGAGTTCATAAAGACTGGAGAAAATATCTAGCCCTCCATCCTGTCGACCCTCCTTACGTTTTGCCTTGACTATTGCAATAACTTCCTAATTGATCTCCCTGCCTTTTTCTCTTCTCTTTCCAATCCATCTATCCACACAGCTACCAAAACAATGATCTTAAATCATAGGTCTGATCATGCCCAGCCCCCTTTTTCCCTTCCTCCCCACTCAACTACTTTCTTTTACTCTTATTTCCTGCTTTTAAGATGAAGTATAAACCCTTCTCTTTGGCATTAAAAGTCCATGAAGATATGGCTCCAACCTTCCATTCCAACCTCATTTCACAGAACTCCCCACCATAGACACTCTGTTCAAGCTGAACTAGCCAGGTTACTATTCTCTGTACTCAAAATTCTTTCTCCAAATTCTGTGTGAGTGCACACTCCATCCCCACTTGCCTGGATTGCTTTTTCCACTAACCTTGGACTTTGGGGATCTTTTTCTTCCTTCGAGGCTCAGCTCAAACTCCATTTTCTCTAGGAGGCCTGCCTGGATCCATCTAAATAGCACTTCTCTTTCTCTCTCCAACTGCTCTTAGAATTCTTTGCTTGATTTCTCTACTCTCCCTACCACATGCTATCCTGGCATATGCTAATCTCTGAATTTGTTAAATCTCCTTTGGTGGAATAGAACCTGTTTGAGAGTAGGCGCTATCTCACTTTTGTGTGTGTGTTCTCAGCATGCAACATAGTGTAATAAGTCTTTAATAAAGATTTTTTCACTAATTAACTCATCCATCCATCCACTCATTTATCGAATGATTTGTTTTCCTCTTTGGATCCCAGGGCCCATCACAGTGTCTTGTAAATAGTAAGCATTTAATAAGCATGCCGTAAATTCAATGAATTATTCATCAACAGCTCTAGCAACTGAACTTTTTTTTTTTATTTGCTGAACCTGGTTTTTGTGATCACCAGAAACTCATCTGGTAAAAATATAGCACTGCCTCCCTCATGGGAGCAATCAGAGAATTGCTACAGCAATTTCCTATTTAGAATTTTCACTGACCTTGGTCCTTCTGTAGTTACATGATCTCATTGCTATGTGTGCTTCCTCTAAGAATACAGATTGTAATTCCTTATTGCTGTCATTACGCGTGATTCTAGACCATGTCTTTCCATAAATCCCCTACAGAGAATCCATTTAATACATGTGATGTCATTTTCTGTTGATTTGTAAGTTGTAGATACCAGTGAAATACTTAAGCTAGGCATCTATTACTACATAAGTCTATGCCTAGAGTATATTTGCTTCTTAACTTTGCCCCTTAGAATACCATGTTTCTTTCCAAATTCAGCTCAAACCCCATCTTTTACATGATGGCTTTCCTACCTCCAAATGCATGGTGTCCTACTCCCCCTAAAACACCCGATACTTATTTTGTATCTTCTTAATTGAGCACACAAATGAATTTAAAAAAGCGTTTATTAAGTGCTTACTATATAAGAAATGCTGTGCTATGTATGGGAATATAAACAGAAAAAAATTTGTAGACAGTCCTTGCTCTCAGGGAGTTCACATTCTAATGGAGGAAAAACAAAATTAGAAGGGTTCAGCTTCAAGTCCGATGGAAAGATCCCATGGTTTTTAGGATGCATCAGCAAAGCAAATGGTAACATATCTTCTTTGGTATCATT